CTCCTCCTCCTCCTCCTCCTCCTCCTCCTCCTCCTCCTCCTCCCACAGTTCAACCCTGAGCTCCAAATATTCTCTTCTAAAATCTACATAGCATGCTGGCTGGGGAATTCTGGGACTTGAAGCCCACAAGTCTTCAAAGTTGCCAAATTCAAGAGACCACCCCCCCGCCCCGCATTAGCTGATCTGGTGGCCTGATCCACCCTTAGAGCTCTATGCTTCTAGCAGGATGAAACCACCCGAGTTGATAGCTGGGTGATATCCAAAGTGACAATCCCACTGGTCATCTTTTTTTGCAGGATATATCAAAAGTGGATCACATGGACAAAAGAGAAGAACAACAAGGAAGAGGTGCGGCCTGATGGAAACATAGAAGAAGAAGTTCAGGTGTGTCTCAGTGCTGGGAGAAATCCTGCTTACCACTTGGATCAGAAAGAACATCGTAACTGATGGGGGAGAAAGTTGTTAAGAGTATTGCAGTGTAAATTCAGCACCAGAAAAGTAAACACAGATGACTGAGGCTTCATTGAACTTCTTTATAAACATATAAAGTGAATTTTACAATACCAGTTGTAGATTTCTCCAACATGGAGGAAACTCAAACAGAAGCAGACATAATTTCAGGTTCAGAGCAGAACAACAACTAAGGAGCTCAGAAACGGACCTCAGTTTCACTTTAGTTCAGCAGGCAAGCAAGACACACAGCAGAGGAAAGAGGCAAGTTTCATTTCCAATAGACAGACTCAAAGCTCAACATAGCTGCAGAGCTTAATATAGAACCACGCCTAGGCTACTTCTAGTTTCAGTTTCCAAACAGTCCTCATTGGCTGACCTTGTTACCATGCTCTATCCCAGTTCATGAATATACTCTGACAAAAGTTTATTCTCGGTAGACAAGCAACAACTGTGCTTCAAAGAGAGAAGAAAGCCATTCAGTAGAAAGATGGCCAAGCGTTATAGAGTCTGACCATTTAATTTCTCCGAGCTCATCCAGACATGGATTTCAGAAGATGTGATCCAGCATCAATAGGATAGGGAGATGTTAGGCACCCAAGGTCACTGTTTAGACCAGGGGTCTCCAATCTTGGCAACTTTAAGCCTGGTAGACTTCAACTCCCAGAATTCTGGGAATGGAAGTCCACAACTCTTAAAGTTGCCAAGGTTGGAGACCCAGGGATCTTGACTTGACAAAAATGCAGCCTCCTTGAAAAAGGCTGGCAGGCTTTTTTTGGGCAGGAGAATGCATGAATGTAAGGCACCCAAAGTAGGAAATGAGTGGTCTTCAAAATCCATCCGTTCATCCATCCATCAGCAGTTGCCTTAAGCCAGCTAGAAATCCTTGGATATTCAGGGAATAGACCATTAGAATAGAATAGAATAGAATAGAATAGAATAGAATAGAATAGAATAGAATAGAATAGAATAGAATAGAATAGAATAGAATAGAATAGAACATGGAATGGAATGGAACAGAACATGGAATGGAATGGAATGGAATGGAATGGAACGGAACAGAATAGAAAATAGAATAGATTTTTTTCCCAGGTATTCCAGAAACTTTCGTGATCTGGAGTGAGGCTATCTTTTCCATTCCCACTTAGTCTTGTTCTAAATTGATCCTGACAAGGAAGTTCCACCCTCTGAAATGCCCCCCCAAAATGTGTCCAATTTACCCAGTTTGGGATGTGCCCATCCTTCCTGGCATCCTGATAAAATCATTCTGAACGTCAATGTGCTAAGTTTACCCAGGGATTCTCTTCTGCTCCTTCCATCTGTGTCTTGTATCAGTCCACCTTAAAAATTGGGTGTAGCGGGTGGAGAACAGCAACAGGCACTTCATGTAAGAGGGCAGGACGGGAAACAACATGATAGCAATTCAATAGGAGAAGCGGCTTGGAATTAAGAAGACACTTCCTAAGAGTGAGAGCAATTAACCAGTGGAACAGCTTGCCACCAGAAGTTGTGGGGGCTTCATCGCTGGAGGTTTTTAAGAAGAGGTTACACAGCCATTTATCCTACAGCAATAGCACTTAGACGTATATACCGTATATACCGCTTCACAATGCTTTCCAGACCTCTTTAAGTGGTTTATAGAGTCAGCCTATTGTCCCCAGCAATCTGGGTTCTCATTTTATCCACCTCAGATGGACAGAAGGCTGAGTCAACCTTGAGCCTGGTGAGATTCGAAACTGCCAAATTGCAGGCAGCCGGCAGTCAGCAGAAGTAGCCTGCAGTACTGCGCCACCATGGCTTATGAGGTCTCCTGTTCTAGCAGGGGGTTGTTCTGTTCTATTCTAAGGCCAGAGCAGTCGTTCATTGCAGAGGCTCAACGGCTTAGTTAGCTCCCTCTCCCGGTGTAAGCGGGATGCGGTGGCTCAGTAGCTGAGCTTGCCGATCAGAAAGGTCAGCAGTTCGGCGGTTCGAATCCCCAGCATCGCGTTACGGAGTGAGCTCCCGCACCTTGTCCCAACTTCTGCCAACCTGGCAGTTCGAAAGCACGTAAAAAATGCAAGTAGAAAAATAGGGACCCCTTTGGTAGGAAGGGAACAGTGTTCCGTGCGCCTTCAGCATTTAATCATGCCGGTCACATGGCCACTGAGACGTCCTTGGACAGCGCTGGCTCTTCAGCTTTGTAATGGTGATGAGCGCTGTCCTCTAGAGCTGGAAACATGCAAGGGGAACCTTTACTGTGGTGCCCCTGTCAGAATCTGATTCTGAGGGGGAGGCCGAGCAGCTGACAGGGAGTGGGAGTGTGGCTCCGTTGGCTGTGGAAGAAACTGGGGAAGGGCACAATTTGGCTGGGCAGAGCAGGACAGAGGTAGAACAAGGCAGAGGGAATTTGGAGGAAGACCCAGGCCCACCCCCTCTTCATCCTAGGGCACGCAGGGAGGAACAGAGAAGGGAGCAATGTGGGTTGCATGGCTTTATGGGGGAGGAAAGGGCCCTGATTCCCTTCATTAGCCGCATCTGAGAACACAGTGTTTAAAAAGGGAGTTTGCACACAGCAACTTGTTGGAAGCAAATCATAAGTGATCCGTTATTGTCGAGGCTAATCTGGGTTCCTGGCGTCTTCCCAACTGTGTGTGTTTTGTTGGCCTTTCAAGTCTGCAATTCTTTCTCCTGTCCCGTCCCGTTGATTGTTGCAGCGTGGTTTGTGTGGCTTTTTATTTATAGTTTATATGTACTTTGTTTTCGGACCGAATTTCCTCCACTTAAAGACTGTTCTTGGGAGAGTTATTTTTTTCTCTCCAGCCAAAGATAACTGGACATTGGGGACCAAGTTGGAGGAATTAAAGGGACTTTTCTTTCTTAGGTGACTACGTTCGCCTTTGTGCCACGCCCTGGGTCATCTCATTTACCTTTACCTCTATCTGGTGTCTGCTTTGGCATCTGAAAAGCTTTCTCTGGCTCAGGTAGATACCTTGAGGTTCCTTTTCTGACTGGCTTCCTTGCTCTTTCCACAGTTGAACGTGGAGGCCCCTGACACTCCTCCTGCTGGACAGCCCTGCTTGTCCTATAGAAGGCTACTCCGGAAGGCTGGCCCCGTCCCGAAAGAGGCTGTGTCTGAGGCTGTATCTGAGGCTGTGTCTGAGGCCAGCTGTACAAGCACCATGTGAATGTACCAAAGAGGACCTCCAGATGGGTGTACAAGCGAGACAACCCAGGGCTGATCAGGATGGACAAAGATTGCGGGGTGGAAGACGTACTCTCTGTCTGGAAACCTTTTCAATCCTGAGTTCATCCTTGCCCAAAGACTCCCTTTGCCTCCCTCCCGAGCGCAACAGGGTTGGCCAAACGCAACGATTTTCACCCATGCAAATTGTCCACTTCCAAATTCAACAATTTTCTGTTGTTGTTGGGTTTTTTTATTATTGTTTTAAACGAGAGCCCCTTTCGGTCCCACGTCGAAGCACCAGGCGAGAAAGCCGGAGGCCGTGAGTTGTAGCATCGTCCTGCTGGGTGACTTTGGGCCAATCATTAGGAGGTTATGAGTTCTAGTTCTGCCTTTAGGCACGAAAGCCGGCTGGATGACTTTGGGACAGTTCCTCTTTCTCTTTCGGTCCAACCCATCCCATGGACTTGTTGTTATGGGAGGGGGAAATAGGAGGAGGAAGATGTGTTGGCGATGTTCGGTGCCTTGTTTTGTAAAAATAACAAAGGCAGAATAAATAAGAGCAGAGATGATTCAGCTACCATGAATGATCCTTTCTCACTGCTAGTAAGGTGAAGGTAAAGATTCCCCTCATTTGTGCTAGTCATTTCCGGCTCTAAGCGGAAAGGCCAGTGCTGTCCGAAGACGCCTCTGTGGTCATGTGGCCCCCATGACTAAACGCTGAAGGCCCATGGAACCTTCCCACCAAAGTGGTCCCTATTTTTCTACTTGCATTTTTACATGCTTCCGAACTGGTAGGTTGGCGGAAGCTGCTGGGACAAGGAACGGGAGCTCACTCCATTACGCAGTGCTAGGGATTTGAACCGCCGAACTGCCAACATTCCTGATCAACAAGCTCAGCGTCTTAGCCACTGAGCCACTGCGTCCTCTCACTGCTAACACTCCACCCTAACTATCCCGGACAATTAAAGGGGGACCCCATCTATAGCCTCCACTTCCCTGTCTCTGAAGAGTCCCACACTTCCAGGTCAAAGGTTGCTTTTCCCAAAAGGCGACTAGATTTTCTCCTGTTTTCCCTTTTGAAAAGGTTGTCAGTTAATTTTATGAGTTTGCTTGCAAGCAAATTTTATGGGACAGACTGAGCTAGCCAATGGCAGATAGATAGATTTCTGAATGAATCTGCGATTCTGTGAGCAACTCAATCTGCCTGCCTGCTTTGCCTGACTTTGGTAAAAGTTGCTCTTTTTTAAAATAAAAAAATCAATATTTACATACATGGTGTGTTGTGAGTTAATTTTATGAGTTTGCTTGCAAGCAAATTTTATGTGACAGATGAGCTAGCCAATGGCAGATAGATTGATTTCTGAATGAATCTGTGATTCTGTGAGCAACTCAATCTGCCTGCCTGCTTTGCCTGATTTTGGGTAAAAGTTGCTCTTTTTTAAAATAAAAAATTCAATATTTATATAAATATTTATAATATTTACACACAAGCCATGCCCAGCCAGTCACATGACCACCAAGCCACACCCACAAATTAGGCCACAGCCACAGAACCGGTTAATGGTCCCTGGGATCTAAAATTATGAGTTTGGTGGTCCCTGAGATCCAAAAGGTTGGAGACTTGTGGCCTAGATAACCTACAAGGTCTCTTCCAACTCTGTCATTTTGTTAAAACTGCCAACACAGCAATGCCAGTATGTAAAATATATTGTTTCAGGGTCCACGTTTGGAAAAGGATATCATAAAAAACAAAAGGATGAAAGAGAGCCGTCCAAACAATTCAGTTGCAAGCTTCAGAATTTTTGGAAAAGGGGCTGCTTGGAACCCCCAGAAATAAAATCAACATTAGAAGTCACATTCTTCCATGTGAAAATTACTGTTTCTCTATAGATTTTCCCCCATTCTTCCTTGGATAATATTTATTATTTGTTTATTAAATTTCTGGTCCACCCATCTCACTAATACAGCAACTCTGAGGTGGTATACAATATAATAATAATAAAAAAAAAGATTAAAAAGTGGTAAGAAAACAAACCTAGAATGAAAAGATTAAAAGAATTCTAAACAGAAAAGAATTCTATTCTATGAAAAGATTAAAACTTAAGAACTGAGGTGATGGGGCAGCTTAAGAAGGAAACCTCAAAGCCACAGGCAGGTGGCGCTATTGGTCCCCAAACGATTGAACTACAGCTCCCATAATTCCTCAAACTGTCAGAGAACAAGACCGGAGCTGTAACCTCATACAGGCCAAGTTGGGGAAGGATGGGCTTTGAAGTTCCTTGCGTTGGGTGTGAGCTCCACCAGGTATCTGACACAAACTAGTGTCAAATGTTGCGTTTCCTTGGCCAGGAATTGCACCCGCAACATGCCTATGGGTTGCAGAGATCCGTATTAGATTTCGCATAAGGAAGAAGAATAAGAATAAGATTTCGTATAAGGGGCGTGCATAAAACACACCACCGTGCCTACCCTCCCTGTCCTATTGTTCCCATTTATTCGTACCTCTTTCCTGTATTCTTACTCATGTTTATATTTATATCTATTATCTTGCAAGCGATTGACAAATAAAGTAAATCAAATAAAAAAAAATAAAAGAAGGAAGGAAAGAAGGAAGGAAGGAGAGAAAGGAAGGGAGAGAATACCCATTCCTAAGACATCTGTAAGGGGCGTGCATAAGCACACCATCGTGTCTACCGTCCCTGTCCTATTGTTCCCATTTATTCGTACCTATTTCCTGTACTCTTACTCATGTTTATACTTATATCTATTGTGCTGTCCAGACAGTATATGAATAGTTAGGAATTGGGAGCTGTCCCCTTAAGGGAATGCCTCATGGTAAATGTAGTCAATGCCTCCTGGGAAATGTAGTTTATGTCATGTGATCACATCTGTAATCCTGATTGGTCACTGAATTGGACCCTTGGTTGGGTTAGGGGAGTTTCCTTTATTCTTGCTTGGACCCCAGCATGGTGCTGGTGTCTTTCCCTTCGCTCCATCCTTACGGGATGAAGATAACTATATTTTCACACTATGAAGACAACCACGCAAAGATTGGACATTAGATGAATCTCAGCATAACTGTGAGTTATACCTTGAGGATGCCTGGTGTGAGCCAATAAAGAAACTTTGCATGGAAGCCTTTGTAGAGTTTATCTAACTGTCTTTATATTCAGCCAGCAATTTAGAAACAGAACACCTATTATCTTGTAAGCAAGTGACAAATCAAATAAATCAAATAAAAAAATAAAATAAGAAGAGTCTAGAGTAGACAGTGAAATGACATAGGTTTTCCTGCTTAGCAGTGGGCTGGACTCCAAGGTTCCTTCCAGTTCACTCATTCATTCATTCATTCATTCATTCATTCATTCACTCACTCACTCACTCACTCATTCAAGAATTTCTCAACCTTGAGATTGGACTTCAAGCTCTCAGGATTCTGTGGGAATTGTGCCATGATAAGGTATATTATGCACCTGGAATTATGGTTCCAGTCAGGGATGTCCAACCTTGGCAACGTTAAGACTCAATGACTCCAATGCCCCAGAAATCCGCAGCTGAGTTGCAAGAATTGAGTATGTCTAGTTTAATGAAAAGAAGGACTCGGGGTGACATGATAGCAGTCTTCCAATATTTGAGGGGCTGCCACCGAGAGGAGGAGGGTCAACTTATTTTCCAAAATACCCAAAGGCAGGACGAGAAAAATGGGTGGAAACTAATCAAGGAGAGAAGCAACCTGGAATTAAGGAGGAATGAACCTGACAGTGAGAACAATTCATCGGTGAACAGATTCCCACCAGAATGTGGATTGTCCATCACTGCAGACTTTTAAGTAGAGATTGGACAGCCATTTGTCTGGGGTGATATATGATCTCCTGTTTGAGCAGGGGGTTAGACTAGAAGACCTCCACGGTCCCTTCCAACTCTTGTTATTATGGTCCTGTCCCAAGGAAACGTCCCCTCTTCATAAGCCAAGATCTCCTTGGAGCCTCCGAGCTCATCTAACCAGCCATTCAGGAGGACCAGGAACCCTGCAAACACCTGGATTAAATCCTCCTTAATCCTTCTTTTCACTAGGCCGGAACTCTTGTTTTCATATGTTTGATGATCCGTTGTTTATTTTCTTGGTGGTCCATGAAATGTTCTCTGGAGCCTCTTCTCTAACAGCAATGCTCAAAAGTCTCCATCTTCTTCCGGTCTGTTTTTCAAAGTCCAATTTTTCCTTCCACAGAGGCTCACAGGAGACATCACAATTCTGCTTGCACAATTCTGGTCTCTCTAGGTCACCTTGACTTTTGTATGTCTTCTCCAAGGACTTTCATGGAGAACTTCCAACGCCTATTATACATTTCACTTCATGGTTCTTCCTTCCCTTTGCCCTGTTAACAACTTTGCCATCTGGCTGGTGAAGTTTCTGCAGGACCACTGCTCTGCAAAGAAACACATTACACACACACACACACACACAGAGAGAGAGAGAGAGTGTCCTTCTCTTCTCGTCCTATGTGGAAACCTCCACTCCTTTTTAGCATTGATGATGTTCCCTAGTTGGGTCATGAAATGCAAGAAAGAAAGAAAGCTCAGAGACCACTAAGAACCCCACAGTCATTGTCCTCCTCCTCCTCCTCCTCCCCCCTATACATCCCACTCCCTTCTAGCACTGATAATGTTACCTACTTGGGTCACGAAATGTCTGCAAGAAACAACCAAACTCAGAGAGCACCAAAGACCCCACAGTTGTTGTTGTTATTGTTGTTGTTGTTGTCATCCTCCTCCTCCTCTTCCTCCTCTCCTTCTCCTCTCCCTCCCTCCTAGCACTGATGGTGTTACCTACTTGGGTCATGAAATGTCTGCAAGAAAACATCCAAGCTCAGGGAGCACCAAGGACCCCACAATCCTCCTCCTCCTCTTCCTCCTCCTTTCCTTTTCCTCCTCTTCTTCCCCTCCCCTTCCTCTCCACAAACCCATTCCCTTCTAGTACTGACGATGTTACCTAGTCAGGTCATGAAACCTCTGCAAGAAAACAACCAAGCTCAGAAAGCACCCAGAACCCTTCTTTTTTTATCATTAAACCCCGTTAATGTTTTTATTTTTTTCTTTTAAATAAAAAAAGACCATTTCTTTCTACTTTAATCCGATTCGCCTCCCCTTGGATCTGGCTGCCTGGATGCATCTTATCTGTCCGCAGGGAGGGTTGAGTGAAGGAATCGCGCGGTTGGCCTCGTTTAGGCGGCCTTCGGGGATTTAGGGCGTTGTCTGAATCCGGACCTTTTCCGGAGGAAATGGGCTCCCTTGCACGTGAACACCTTACGCAGGTAGACTTGAGATGGCAGGGAGGGTTATCTTTCTCCCGACGTCTTTGCTTTTTCTTTGTTAAATTG